CTCTGTTGCTGAGTGACGTAGGTTGCTAAGCCTTTAAAAATTTTGCACATGGAGGATACGAAACAAAATAATTTTTTTAGGTTATATATACATATTTGAATAACTAAAAAATCATAAATTATTATATCCATACCATAGAATTCCATTATAATTTATCAAGCTTAGTTTTTAAGCTCTATTTTAGTCTAAAAAAGTATTAAATTTTGAGCAGACTAAAGACACACCCCACCTTGTTGAAATATTGGTTCAAAAGAAAGAAATGGTGCCAAGTCCATTAAAATGGCTGAGAAAGCCACTAGGGGGACATTCTGAGCTTCCGATTGGTTATTCATGTCATACATAGAAGTAAGTGTATATAAGGGAGAGTTTGCAAAAATGGAAAGAGGTGGGCGGGGTGCCACTATGTTTGATTTATTACATGAGCAATATCTTAGTAAATAGAAAAGATAAGACCTTCTTATTTTATATTCTAGCTTGTCAATATTGCTAATTTGAGTTTCTAATTTGTACAAAACTATAGACTTAGTATTTTGACTTCACAAACATCTAATTTGAATCAATGCTGCATTCAACATACCACGTGACACACAAAAATCTATGTTTATCTGTGTTTCTTAACATTTACTTTAAATTAAGAAATTGAGTAATGTATAATACTAAAATCTGAATTATAATCTACAGTTTGATACCAAACATATTGACATTAATTCATGAAACAGTAGTTCAATAAAATTTTGAATATGAGTCAACAAACGAGATGACATGGCCTTTCACCCAGGACTCGTCTGGAAAGGGTTAAATTATAATAGTTATAGAACATTGCTTGATTTGTGTATGTTATTATGCTGCGTATTTATGTGCTTTCTGCAAATAAATAAAAAATTGTTTAATGTACTAGTACCATCAGTACAAAAAACATAGACTTAACTTTATTGGCAGACTGATAGCAAAATAAACAAGATGCCAAGTGTAATTATCAAATATTTCGTTTTTTATGTATACTTTTTTATTTATCGTTATAGGAGTAAGTAAAATGTAAAAATTAGAAATTTATCACTTTAGACTCCATATATTCATGGACTAATCTTTAGTAAAAATACTTAACTAAAAAATCAGATTTTTTGTATACAAAAGGCATGTCATATTTACTAAAAGCTTGCCAAATGTCACGAATCACGCCTTCTCTTGCTTTACTGATAAGTCCAACACTACATCTCTTTATCTTCCTTTGAATCCAGCCTTCTCTTAATTTACTGATAGAGTCTAACACAACAGATATCTTTTTTGTTTGAATTACTCTATTTCATGCCTTGATGCATTTATAATCACAGAATACGAAATCTTTGCACCAGGAAGATCTGTAAAGCAACCTAACCAGAAGTCAACATTAAGGAAGACTTGTAATGTAACCTAACCAGAAGTCAACATTAAGGAAGACTTGTAATGTAACCTAACCAGAAGTCAACATTAAGGAAGACTTGTAATGTAACCTAACCAGAAGTCAACATTAAGGAAGATCTGTAATGTAACCTAACCAGAAGTCAACATTAAGGAAGATCTGTAATGTAACCTAACCAGAAGTCAACATTAAGGACATTTTTAATGTAACCTAATCAGAAGTCAACATTAAGGAAGACCTGTTATGTAACCTAACCAGAAGTCAACATTAAGGAAGACCTGTTATGTAACCTAACCAGAAGTCAACATTAAGTACCATTTACTTTTTGAAGTGAGATGCAACAAGAGAGTCATGTTTTTTAACCTGTGTTGCCACATATCATGGAGAGGGCTAGCAGCAAAGTGACAGGGTCGTGGTTTTTAAATCTGTGTCGCCACAGACCATGGAAAGGGCTAGCAGCAAGATGACAAACTCATGGTTTGTAACCTATGTTGCCACAGACCATGGAAAGGGCTAGCAGCAAGGTGACAGGGTCACAGTTTTTAACCTGTATTGCCAAAGACGATGGCGAGGGCTAGCAGAAAAGTGACAGGGTCACAGTTTTTATCCTGTATTGCCATAAAATATGGAAAGGGCCAGCAACAAGGTGACAGGATAATAGTTTTTAACCTGTGTCACCACAGACCAGGAGAGGGCTAGCAGCAATGTGACAGGGTCATGGTTTTATCCTGTGTCACCACAGACCACGGAGAGGGCTAGCAGCAATGTGACAGGGTCATGGTTTTTATCCTGTGTCACCACAGACCACGGAGAGGGCTAGCAGCAATGTGACAGGGTCATGGTTTTTATCCTGTGTCACCACAGACCACGGAGAGGGCTAGCAGCAATGTGACAGGGTCATGGTTTTTATCCTGTATCACCACAGACCAAGGAGAAGGCCAGCAGCAAGGTTACTGGATATGTAGGTCATAACCACAGATCATGAACAACTCTCTGTCTACAAACAAATATATATAATATAGAATCAAACATTATACTTTTTTCTCTGAAGATGTCTTTTGCATTTCAAATCACAGCTGAACACCAAGTGTTATCTTCCTATTTCAAGCAATATATATATTTCAGAATACTACAAAAACAAACCTCTATCATTTTTGCAGCCTCCTCAATGACTTTATCCATCTCACCCAATTCCTCCTCTACCATATCTCCCAGTTTGTGGGGGTCTTCAGTGGACATGTTAGGGACTAGACCTTCTGTGAGAGAATTGATCTTTTCGATGCTTGACCTCACTTGAAGCATCTTGGCAGGAACATTTTCCTCAGCACCTTAAAAATAAAAACAGAGCAAAACAGGGTGTTACTGTCTACACCATCAGCCTGAATCATTTGAAGAAAATGTGTTTGTTTTTTTAATGGAAAACATAAAATTTCAAACCATACAAAAAATGTAACTTTGATGTTAATATTACAATTACAAGCAATTTTTTAGATAATTCACATAAAAAGTGCAACATAAGTTAGTGTCTTACCTTGTTCTTTCATTGTCATAAACAAGTCCAGTGTATCCATCCCCAGATGTCTACATGCACTGGCCAACTCTGAGAAACAAATGGAAAAATGTTGACCTACAACTTCCACTATCTATAAACAATATTGAACATATCAATACCTTATCATGAACTAAAACACAACCCTCACCAAACAAAGACAAGAATAGAGAAATTCTCATTAAATTATGTCAAGATGAAGGAAAGTAGCTTTTCAACACCACCTACTGCCAACTATTGTGTGGGATGTGGCCTTCACTCTTATAATGGCAAGATTTAGTTTTTTTTAATGGTAATGGGACAAAAACTATGGAACCACAGCTCCACATCCTGTATGCTAAATTATTTCAAAATTAATCTCTTTGGAAATCTTACTATAAAAGTGACTAAATGTATTTGAAACTAAATTGAAAACTTTTACACAAAGTTTTTATTAATAATGTTTAATAAATAATTAGGACTTAAAGATTTCCTTATTTTCAACAAAAAAATATCCATCTTAAAGCAAAAAGAATCCTAAATTATTCAACTGGTAATTATGGAAAAATAACCTTAATATAATGTAATTTAACTTTTCAAATGTATATTACAACATTACACTAAGACTCTTGGGATTGAAACCAAAACCCACCATCTCCATGTTCAATGTTAGGTGATGCATGTGAAGTAGCTTTTCCATGTAGTAGTAAATCTGCTAGCTGGTGAGAGAAGAAGTTCAATGACTGTACGAGTTCTTTCATATCTAAATATATTAATGTAAGGACAAATGTATATTAGTTCCTTGTCTTCTAGTTGCAGTGTAACTAGTAATCCCTTCATTATTTAATAACAGCAACAAATGTCTAATAAGCCAACACTATATTATGTAACACTGAACTTTATAAAAATAATGTTGAACAAGTTAACATTATATCATTTAACACTAGAATGAACAAACCAACCCTATATTATTTAACACTAGAATTAATACCAATTAATGCTGAACAAGCCAACACTATATTATTTAACACTAGAATTAATAACAATTAATGTTGAACAAGCCAACATTATACTATTTAACACTAGAATTAATAACAATTAATGCTGAACAAGCCAACACTATATTATTTAACACTAGAATTAATAACAATTAATGTTGAACAAGCCAACATTATATTATTTAACACTAGAATTAATAACAATTAATGTTGAACAAACCAACACTATATTATTTAACACTAGAATTAATAACAATTAATGTTGAACAAGCCAACACTATATTATTTAACACTAGAATTAATAACAATTAATGTTGAATAAGCCAACATTATATTATTTAACACTAGAATTAATAACAATTAATGTTGAATAAGCCAACATTATATTATTTAACACTAGAATTAATAACAATTAATGTTGAATTAAATCTTGAAAGTGTTCTAGAGCTTTGTTTTTCTATTACTACTTATTACAAAACCAAATTCAAGTACTCCAAAAAAAAAAAAGTAAAATGCAAAATACATATAGTAGTCTTATGGCTGATTAAATTCATCTTTAAATTATTGTTATATGGTATATAACCCTTCTACCCCCAAGATATCTAAAATATACTGCATACATATCTCAGTGATGTGGAATTTTTGAAAAAGTATTCTTGGTCAAGGGCTAAAATACTAGAAAAATGTACTTGTCTTTCTTAAAACTCTACTTGCCCCTTCCCATCTATGATTTTGTTTTTATTTAATAGTGAACAGAGTCACTACAGTGTCATTAGTAGCTCAGTTTTGTCGAAAATGACATAGAGCTGGTTTAGAATCTATGCATTTTATATATCAGGTGTTATAATTTTCCTATACTGAAAATGCATTTCCGATAGGTACTTACCTTCTCTCACATAAATAGCTATTCTCATTCAGTGCTTCCCTCTATATGCAAAAAATTTTTTGTACATGCCACAAACCTTGAATCTCCCACATCTGGAATTGACTGATTCTAATGTGTCTCGCATTCAAATAATCATACAACAACCCTCCACCAATAAGAGTGCAACATACTCTCTTGACGCATAAATAGCTATTCTTGTTCAGTGCTGCCCTCTATATTAAAAAAATGTTTTGTGCATGCCACAAGCCTTGAATCTCCCACATCTGGAATTGACTGATTCCAATGTATCTCGCATGAAAATCATCATGCAACAACCCTCCACCAATAAGAGTGCAACTCTCTTGACACAAGCAACTCCCTCTATTTAATTCTACTGAACTATCACTTCGAGTTTTGGCAAAAAATGGAAGCACCAGTTTTCAGTGGGGAGGAAAGGTGGAAAGTGTGAGAGGGGTAAGTACCTATTGGAAATACATTTTCAGTAAAGGAAAATCATAATTTCTGATACGATACATTACTTCCGCTCACATAACTAGCTAGAACCTCACACTGAATAGGGACCGGTGTGAGTGAAAGAAAGAAGCATCCTTTAAAAATGTCCAGAACACACTCTCAAAGAGATCTTCAGAGTTGAAGATCGTACGTGGGAGACTGCACCACTTCTGAACCAGGTATACTCTTCACCCATTGGGGAAAGATGTCGCATATATGGGCAGAAAATTGGAGGATCATGTCCAAATTGGAGAAAACTATGACAGGATAGTGACCCAAACCATATATCATATATTCAAGTTATGAAACTCAATCCCAGAAAACATAAAAGTGGGTAAGATTAAATGATGTACCCCTAGGTGTAGAGTGGCTAAGGTGCAACGGACTGTACACGACAAGTCAAATATATCTAAAACCCATGCCATGTGGGGGTAGAAAAGAGGATCATACTGTCTTTTGCACCTCAAGTTCATGAACGATCACATGTTGTTGTTTTATAACAATGTCAGAAATTGAACTATCAACCTGGAAAACTGACAATTGGCATCAAAAAGATGTCTGTGTAATGTAAACCATCTTACTCAAATATATAATGACTACTTTCAACTGAATGGTTTTATAATAATTTATATATATTATTTGTATTTCATTATCACATTCAGGAGGATGCCTCCACAGTCCACCACCCCCAGCTTGGAACTGGAAAGTGGTAAGGACTCTCAAATTCCACTAGAAGAAAAGGGGGAAGAAAGAGTAGTGGAAAGTGTGGAGGAATGACAACACCTGAGACAGTGCAATGGGTGTCCACAAAACCCTATTCTGAAAAGCAGACAATACTGATTTATTCAATACAAGGTATGGCAGGGATGGGCAGCTATCCCCTTCTGCTTTACCCATGTAGTCCATGGATGAGTACGGTCTGGGACAGGCATACTTATGAAGCAAACTTATCACAAGGATTAACCTACAAGCCACAGTGTGACTTTTAATAGTTTAGGTATATCTGGACAGGTACCACTCACCACAAAGTGGGAGCCAGAAAGAAAAAGAGAGGGAGATGTCCCTGAAAATAAGAGGTATATATACTAAAAGAATGAAGGTGGAGGACAGTACCCCAAAAAGGAAGAAACAGCTACCCAAAGTAAAGAATGGGAGATGAACGTATGAGTAGTAGTCCCTCTGTTCGACAGACAAAGTACCACCAAAGAACAGTTTGGATATGCAGAGAAAAGAGAAGGTGCATAATCCTAGTGAAGACATGAGGAATCAATGATGGGAAGAAGGATACAAGGAATAAAAGGCCAATCGAATCACAATCCCAATGGGTCAGGGAGGAAGAAAAAAAATCACAGACAAAGCAGTAGAATAAGGGAAGGTAATCGTGGGAGATGGATTCAGTGGAAAACCTTGAAAACAATGAAGCAACCCAAAGCATGTACTGGACTGACAAGGTCATCTGGAACCAATCGAGAAGAAGGAAAGAAATGGAAAAGTTGAAAGAAATAAGCCACACGAGCCACGAAATGGAGGAAAATAAAAATGATCCAGAACAAAGAAAAGAATTGAACCGAAACAGTAGAAAAACCCAGATTCGAGCAGGCCAGAAAATCAATTAGAAAGACCTGAATCAGAGTGACTTGGAAAAACAAGTATTTGGGGAAAAAACTGATGAAAGGAGAAAAACTAATGTGGGAAACTGGATGTAATCCTGTCTGAACACATCGACAGCCAGGGCAAGGGATGATGAACTAGAGAGAATTCCTTGGGAATTGATAAAAAATTCAAAAACTTGGAGGAGTACCCCACAGGAGGTAGAGCTATCAAAATTTTGGAGAATCAAGAGGTCACTCCTAGGGAGAAAATGTGACGAAACTGGAAAGACAATGAACAGCGAGGACAAAAACCTGGAACATGACCCTCCAGGAGACGTACGTGAAGTGCATGGGTTCAAAAAGGGAGATCCACTGTCTACCACAAAAGGAACAAGTAAGAACATCCCCTTGGCAAGTGATAAAAGCCACCATCAAATAGTCGAAATGAAATATGATTAGTCATATCTGGACAAAATGAAAAGAGTGAATGAAAGCACATTGGACTGGATGAAGTGCCAGGGTGTAAAGTGAATAAAACTGTTTGCCTGGAGACCATAGTCCTGAAGACTCCTACAGATTGAACCACATCCCCAACCAATGGAGATGAGCATAAGGGAAGAGAAACAATCCAGAATAGAGGAAGGAAGCAGGAAACCCGACATCATAGGGATATGAAAATCTATCAACTGATACAGAAGAGGGAAGGAAGAAAAATAAGAGGAAAATCAATGGATGGTACCAACAGAGGTGTTTGTAAAAATACCCACCCCAAAGAGATGAGAATGTGATGTATGGAACAGGAAAGACACACATCCAAATGGAAAATCCAACAACCCTAGCTGACTATGGAAGAAGTTTCTGAGTATGTGAATAGTATTCCCCAGTCAGAAGTAGCTAACCAAAGTTATACATTCAATGAATTATGTAGGTAAAATGCAGACCACCCCGCAAAAGACATATGGTACCAGACAAGTCCAAAGGGCAAGGCACAAAACTGGGACCAAACTATGTGGTGAAATAACCAGAACCCCAAACAGCATTGAGCATACAAGACAAATGGAGAAAACCTGTAGGTATGACAGGTGAAGGACAAAAAATTGCTAGACATGTGAAAGAATAAAGATGAAAATATCTCGGAATGAAACAAAAAATGTAATATAGCATGGCAGATACCCCACATGACAATAAACGTACAGGAGGAGCCCCCAAAAAAACTGATCGGTGGAGAAAAAAATTAGATCATAAATCTCTATTAGCAGTGGATGGGAAACAAACAGCAGTGTCCCACCCAAGAACTTCCCAAAAGGAAAGAAGCCACATGTCGGGGGAAATAACAGAGGATGGCAACCCCCCCCCCCAACATGGAGGGAAGCAGGAGGACATATCCCACGAAAATCATTAAATATGGGTGAAATACCTAGGAAAGAAAGTGGATGATAAGCATTACACATAGGAGAGTAGATATGGTAAAACAAAACAGAAAAACTAGGTAGTGAAGAAAATGGAAAGAAGTAACAGAGATTCCAAGGACATAAAACCAAGAAGAAAATCTGCTTGATGGTAAGTGAAGGCAAAAAGAATCAAAGCCTGTATATGGTGAAGCTTGCAAGTACCAAATCTGAAAAGAGACAACAAAAATAAAAAAGAAAAAATGTCAGGAGAATGGAATATACTGTGAAATGTGTCTAAAAAAACTGAGACAGACCGAGCAGATTCTGCAATAAAGGTCTGGAATGCAATCTAAGGTAGAGGAAAACTAAGAATATCTGGGCCATCTGAAATGGGTTCAGCCATTATAGGGAAAAGGCGAGCAATATTTTGAGCAGGTAGGGTGGACCGCAGCCCACAGGGGCCCACACAAAAGAAATTAAGGGTAAAGTGTATAAAGTATAAATTATATGAAATAAATGGTAAGAAATTAACAGACACTTGTTAAGCCTAAGCTAACAAGATATATATAATGTAACTTGCGATAATCCTGAAGTATCGACTAAACAAACAAAACTTATACTATAAAATTCAAATAACTACAGATAATAATATCAAAAGTATTCAAAAACCATAAAAATATAACGTCTTATCGTTCCAAAGTCGGTGGACTGTATGTGAAAATATGTGGGCCCCCAAACTCGAGGCGAGGCCTGATGAAGTAAAGCTTAAAATCTTCCCACGGAGTACTGCGACCCGAAGCCAATATAAATGTGCGAATAGAACGTATAACCTCCAAAGTGGTAATGTAGAATTCATAATGCAAAATGAGTAACCAAAGACAACTGTGTTGGCAGAAACAAAGAAAAAGGTTTTGTAAAGAAGTAATAAGTTCCATAACCAGGTATAAATATAAAATAATTCCACTTTGGAATAACTCAACAAGTTACAAATATCACTATTGTATGAGTAAGCTTGTTGGGAGAAATTAATACAAAGATACAGACAAATTAAAATCAAAATACTTGAAGAACTATATTTTAGAACACGAGTACTACCAAACTCAAGGTGATAGTTCGGTGGAATTGAAAAGAGGGAGTCGCATGCGTCAAGAGAGTCGAATTCTTATTGGTGTAGGGTTGTCTCATGATGATTTGCATGTGAGACGCACTGGAATCAGTCAATTCCAGATGTGGGAGATTCATGGTTTGTGACATGTACAAACATTTTTTTTGCATATAGAGGGCAACACTGAACGAGAATAGCTACTTATGTGAGTGGAGGTAATTTCTAATTACGCTTATCATATACCAGGTTTTGTATCAGTGCTTTTCATATATATTTCTTCAGGTATTGTATGGCTTTTAACATTTGGTCATTAGGATTTTACAGCTCAGCATGCAGAATACCCCATGCATGAAGCTGTAAAGAAATTATAGTTTTCATTAATGCTGCAATCATATAAAATGTTGTTTAATATCTATATCTACACACACACACACACATATATATATATATTTAACAGTTTATTATTAGTCATTTTTGTTATGTTATGTATTCTTCCTAGACAAAACCAATAATAATATTATGTAATAAGAACTTGGTGTGTGCGACTTGAGGGTTTGTGAATTATAGAGATATGTATATTAAATGTTCATATGTATGTGCTAGACTTCCGTAGCTTGGAAATTTCAGGAACTTCTGAGGCTTCATAGTAATCTATCTGGGGTATTTTTATAGCAATGGAATGAATGAAGTAAAAAAGGAAGTACTTGTCCAGTGGGCAAAGTATAATGGTGGAATTTCTTGTTTCTGAAGCTGGGCGGTAGGAATTGCACACCTCTGTATATATATACATAGATGCAGGTTCACAAACTTACATGATCAGAAATCTAAATCTTTACATCTGGTAGAACACTGCATTTATAACTATGTTACATCAGCTTAATTAATACTCCAGTTATGCAACTATGATTCCTATAAATGTTAGTTATGGCCAATAAGAATGTTTAAAAAATCAATACTAGACAGACAAACATGTATTACAATTGAACATGTAAAAAAAAAAGAAACAATGAAAGTTGTTAAGAATTAAAAATTTTTAAACTTATTATTACCAATAGGATCTTGGAGATATTTATTGTAACCTGTCTCCATTTTGTGCAGACTGACTTTGGTTGGTTCTGTCTGATGAAGAAGGTATTCTAAACAAAGAAAATCAAACTTAGTATATGCTCAGTAATTTTCTCCACTAGGTTTTCAACACTCATCTGAGAGGGACAAGTATTATTACATAGAATTGTTTTTCCAGAATGTTATTATATTACTTAAGCATTTATAGATATTTTGAATTGATCGTGAAAATATTATCTTCCTTTACATAACCAATAACATCATCAACAACTTTGTTTTTTCTTCAACAGACTGATTTAGTATGTCATTAATTTTAGTTTTTTCCCTGCTCAATAACCTTGATCATTGATCTTTGAATTATTATTAGAAATCTCCTTTATCATTCAAAGATCAATGAGATTTATTATTATTATTAAACAAATCCAGTTTATTGGAAATAGGTTATTTTGGTTTTGATTAATAAACTCATGTATTTTTTCACCAACTGTTCATTTAAATTTATTATCAATAAATCATTAAATGTATATCCCTAAATTTGTTTATTTCGTCATCAATTTCTTCTTTAAACTTATCATCAGTAGATTATTTTCTTAAAAAGATTTTATATTAAAAATCGTTAAGCTTTCTTAATTTTCAAAATATTATTTTATCACTGTTAATTGTTGTTGCTGTTTTTCAGCACAAAGTTATACAATGTAAGTCCAGAGACTTACCCACAGACATGTCCAAAGTTATACAATATTAGTCCAGAGACTTACCCATAGACATGTCCAAAGTTATACAATGTAAGTCCAGAGACTTACCCACAGACATGTCCAAAGTTATACAATGTAAGTCCAGAGACTTACCCACAGACATTTAATTATCTTCATGAGTAGTTTTATTATAATGCCAGTAAAGTAATTTGCTTTGTTATCAACAGATACTTTACAATGCAACACAATTACACTGTGATAAAAAAAGACTGATTTACTTAATAATTAGCAAAGTATCTTATTTATTACAACTAGAATTTACCATCATGATATTGTTTTAATTTATCATTAAAATTAACTTACTTGATAATTAATAAGTTATTCTTTATGTGCAAACTTTGTTAATAATACTTCTATATTTCACTCTGAAGTCATGTTAAGTATGCCAACACTAAAACACCACATCCAAAATAAAACAGTTGATATATCACCTGGTGCACATGTCATTGCAGCTAAAGCTGGGTTATCAAACTCCTCTAGTGTTGTCTGAACGATGTGTTCTGCTTCTCCTATGAGGTTCACTAAAACACAGATTAAGATAATAGTATTCATTATATCCTCACACATGTACACTACACAGTTACCATATATCAGTAATATACAATTAATACCAAATGGTGAGATCAAATGAAATGTAATTACAAATTTTATTTTATTTAGATTTTTAAAAACACACATTTATGAGACAGTATTTAGTCAGACAGTCTGAGGACCATAATAACACAATTTGACAAGCAATATGAATATTACAGATGGTATTACACTACCATCAATTCATCCAACTCTGAACAAGAAAATATACTGACATATAACATGAGTAATCTGAATTTTATCATTCTTCTTATCTTAGCTAAGACTTTTAACTAGTCCTACATAAATCAGTCAGAACTAAACATAATTGTCTAGTTTGCTCATACTTGTGAAGTCACTTAAATCTAGATAAAACCCAGTTCAACTGACCACAATATAGCTATATTAATACATTTAATAACTTAGATAGCCATATGTGTCCATATATTCTATGAAGGTGATCATAATATTAAGATAAATTACAATGCTATTTAAATAAGCCTTCAAAGCCCTACATTTTTTATAAAACAAGACAAAAGCACTGTTTTTCTCACCAAACAACTCGCGATGTTTATCTACATGATCTTGCCATAGACTCTGCACTTTGGCTTTATGGCCTTCTTCAGAAGCTGTTAGCAGCAGGTTTTCTTCCAACAATTTCTCAAGTTGTTTCTGAAGGCTTCCTTGCTCATTCTCTAACTTTAACAAGTCGTCTTTCAGTTTCTGCAAAAATCAATCTGTACTAAGCCAACCTGCCCAGCAAAGTTGTGAACCATTTTTACAAATGTTTCTCACTTCTTTCTATCATTATTTCTTGAAGGAAATGCCTCACAAATACAAATGATCTTTGGGCAACTTTGGGTCAAAATAGTTTGACATATTACATCAAAGCATTTCGTTTATACTCAATAAATATACAATAAAAAGTCAAATTAAACTTTCCCATCTTCTCATAAATAAGAAACAAATAGCAATATACATACAAAAAGAACACAGAAACCAATAACGAATGTGAACTACTACTTCATCTTAAAGTGTCACAAAACACAGGAACTTCTTACATCAACAATCTTCTCTAACTCCACCTTACTCTCTGTTACTGCAGCAAGTTCTTCACTAGAAAGATTAGCAGACTGTTGAAGTTTCTCTTCAGCCACTGTTTTCTCACTCTTCAGCACTTGCAGGGTCTGTTGTAGCTCCTAATGATAGACCGGGTTAAAAAAATAACCACACTTCAATACTCGTGCACTCTTTATATAATTATCTACTGAAATTGGTTTGTTCTTTTGTGGCAGGAATGAAAAAATCAAATTCACCCGGACAACAAAAAAAGCCATTTTTGGAAAGTGTTTAATTCATTACATCTTTAACTTTTGATTTAATGAATATTTCAAACACTTTTCTTTGTGAAACATCTATCATGGTTGCCAGTTTGCAGGTTGATTTTAAAGTTTTTCACTTAAAGTTGATACTATTTGTGGCATTATTTTTATTTTCCTGCAAAATTTAGGACTTTTGCTTTGCAATTTATTACCAGTTAAATAGGCTTAGCCCTCTATTGGCCAATATAAGTTCAATGAATCAGGGGAGATAACTTGTTTTCCAACAGAATACTTTTTACAGTTTACAGGCCCAAAGAAATTCACAGAATCAAACTGAGGTTATGAAAATCAAGCCTCATTACATAATAATCATATTCTACAGTAATTTAGTTTTACAAATGAAAATATGTTGTTTTTACAGAAAAGTTTCTAACTTATAATGTAAGTCTGATGGGTTTTTTTTCACAGAAAATAAGTTTTACACTTACATACTTTAGTCTGTTGTTTTTTTTATATAAAATCAGTTTACATTTGCATATTTTTTCCAACTTTTTAATACAAATTATGTTGAGTTTAAACATGGTGTTCTGTTGTTTTTACAGTAGATATTTTTTAAATCTGTTGTTTTTACAGTAAATATCCTTTAAATCTGTTGTTTTTACAAAAAATATCTTTCAAGTTTAAATGTGTTGCATTGTTATTTTTACAGAGAAGTTTAAAGTTCGTACGTGTTATTCTTTTGATTTTATGGAAAATATCTTTCAAGTTTAATCCATTCACTGCAGCTGGGACATATATTTCCAGTGTACTGGTAAATATACATCCCAGCCACAGTGAAAGGGTTAAATGTGGTGTTCTATTGTTTTTACAGAAAAGTCTCAAGTTTATGTATGTTATTGTTTTGTTTTGATAGAAAATATGCTTCAAGTTTAAATGTGTTGTACTGTTGTTTTACAGAAAAGTTTCAAATTATTTTGTATTAGTTTACAAAATATTATGTTATTTTTAATAGAATTTTATTATATTGTTGCTACTGAAGGAAACTAAGACAAAAATTCTACAATAAAACATGTATGTAATTAAAATATATATGGCCAAAACAAATATATTTAAACATAGCTACCACTTTCTACATATATTTATTGAAGCATCTTACTTCTTTATTTATAAAAAACAAAACAAAATGTTGTAATTAAAATTGTACCTTATAATTTCCATCTGATTAAAAAATTATTTAAAAGACATGAAAATTATCAAATGTTTTTGAAAACAAACACATGCACTTAACAACACAAAATATAATTCTTCAATACATTACACACAAACTTATTTTCCTGTCTTACTGTAATTTCAAGGTTCATGATTGAACTGAATATAAATCTAAATAAATTACTAATAAATCTTGAGTAGCAGTGAAACAATAAAATCACCTGATTATTTTTCTCCGCTTCATCAGCCATGTTTCTAGCTGAACTAAGGTGCTTTTCAATGTCTGCTTTCTAAAATAATAAAATAAAAAAGTTTTGTTTATTACAAAACTACTAAGGCTTATGTTGCCATCCCTAATTTAAACTGTTGACTTGAGAGAAGGCAACTAGCTAGCAGCATACACCAAAAACTTTTCGATTGCTTTTTTTAGCAACAAATAATAGAATTGACTATCACATTATAATGCTCCCATGGGTGAAAGGGCAAGCATATTCTGTGCATTTTCAATCCCAAGGCCCACAAATTAAGAGTTGAGCCTTTGACATCAGGCCAGGCCAGGCCAGTAAAGCAAGCCTATGCACAAGATATAAGCAAATGATGGATTGCACACAAAATTCAGTCAATATAAGATATATACAGCTGAATCCACAAACGCTGTTAAATATTTCTAACATTCATGCTGCAACAGACCAATTTCCATATATTTAACATGTGTAGCATCTAATCTATATATTTTGTATTCTGATATACTGCACCAGCCATAGAAAATCCAGTTCTTTAAATTTATTTTATTCATGAAAAAGCTTTTTGGTTGGCTAAGTCACTGAAATTAGTATTTACAATGGAGCACAAATTCTTTAAATTAAGTTAAATAACTAAAGGTCAAAAGAAGTTAAACTGAAACATGTCTATATTTGACATTGGATGTAGTTCAATTTGGCTTATTCCCCTGTTTTTACTGAACATTTGGTTTAGGCTTAAAAAGGTTATTTCATTGTTTTTTATTGACCATAAGGCTCAAACTTTCATGTTTTTTTGCATTGTTTTTTACTCATTATAAGTTTCAGGCTTGTGTATGTTGTTACTAGTGGTATGCACAGGTGAGTTAGGTGGCTGGGTAGACACAATCTCCGGCTCTTATGCCACAAAAGTGCCCATTTTCTCACTCATAAAAAGCTGTCAACGACTATTAAAAGATACACTTTCCTTACCGTGAGTTATTAGGTAGAAAAAAAGATTTCAGCTTTAATATAAATGGAACAGAGGGCCTTGTAGGACAGTAAAAACAAACAACTGTAATATGCTATCAATTGTTAATATGCAAGAATTCTCTGTTTAGTTTTAGATTTTAAAAATGTTTATAAGACCAAATGAATAGGAATAAATAATTTCTTTGCTTCTTACTGCTTTGTTTTTTACCCTAGGTGTACCAGAGGCAACCACTGTACCCATAGCCCTCCCATCACCCCTCCAAAGTCTTGAAAAGTGACCATTTTTTATCAGTGAGCCATGTTGTTTTAAAGTTCTCTGCACATTATATTATTAAATTGTTTTTTACTGAACATTAGGTTCAGGATTACATATGTTAATTCATGTTTTTTACTGAACATTAGGTTCAGGATTACATATGTTAATTCACATTTTTTACTGAACATTAGGTTCAGTCTTACATATGTTAATTCGCGTTTTTTTTACTGAACATTAGGTTAAAGGCTTACATATGTTAATTCACATTTTTTTACTGAACATTAGGTTCAGGCTTACATATGTTAATTCATGTTTTTTACTGAACATTAGGTTCAGGATTACATATGTTAATTCACATTTTTTACTGAACATTAGGTTCAGGCTTACATATGTTAATTCGCATTTTTTTTACTGAACATTAGGTTAAAGGCTTACAAATGTTAATTCATGTTTTTTACTGAACATTAGGTTCAGGCTTACATATGCTAATTCATGTTTTTTTTACTGAACATTAGGTTCAGGCTTACATATGTTAATTCATGTTTTTTACTTAACATTAGGTTCAGGCTTAGATTTTCTGTTCAGTTATATTTACTGACCATGACATATTTTGATCTATTTTATTTACTTCAACTTTCATTAAGCTGTTCTGTTGTTTTTACTACATGTTTCTAATTTGCATCAATGAATTATCAGACTTTGGAATTAAAAACAAAAGAGAGAGGATGGATTTTAAATTAATTCTTTTTGTAAAACAAATGTAACAATATATAAGATATTGTTTTAAAAATGTATTTGAAGTCTTTATTCAGAGCAAAGATGATGATAATTACAGCTCTATTAACACAAATACATCGCTATAATGGAAAAAGTTTATTACTTATGGTTCTAATAACACATTACTGTAAAGGAAATATTTGACTGATTATAACTATAATAGCAAAATACATTACTGTCAAGATAAAAAGTTTCTTACTTATGGTTATAATGACACCAATACATTACAGTCAAGGTAAAAAGTTTCTTACTTATGGTTATAATGACACCAATACATTACTGTCAAGGTAAAAAGTTTCTTACTTATGGTTATAATGACACCAATACATTACTGTCAAGGAAAACGTTTGCTACTTACAACTCTGACAACAACAACACGTTACTGTCAAGGAAAAAGTTTTACTTACAGCTCTAGTAAGTAAAAATGTGTTAATGTGAAAAAACAAAGAGTTCCTACTTACAGCTTTAATAAGTGAAATATGTTAATGAGAAAAACAAAGGGTTCCTACTTACAGCTCTAATAAGTGAAATATGTTAATGTCAAAAAAAAGGTTCCTACTTACAGCTCTAATAAGTGAAATATGTTAATGTGAAAAACAAAGAGTTCCTACTTACAGCTCTAATAAGTAAAATATGTTAATGAGAAAAACAAAGAGTTCCTACTTACAGCTCTAATAAGTGAAATATGTTAATGAGAAAAACAAAGAGTTCCTACTTACAGCTCTAATAAGTGATGTATGTTAATGAGAAAAACAAAGAGGTTCCTACTTACAGCTCTAATAAGTGAAATATGTTCTTCTCGTAGCTTGTTATAAACCTCCTTCATTTTCAAGAATTTTTCTTCTTGTGTTTTTGCTTTTTCTAAAATGTATTCAAGATATAAAAAATGTTTTTATCGGTGGATGACAGTGAAAAATCAAATGCACGATACTGAAAAAATTAAAGAACACACAAACAAAATGTGATACATAAATTCATAGTTAACCATTAAATTAAAATGTTGATTTTTACTGTAAATTTGCTTCACTACATAATAATTTTCTCCCATTTAATGAGACTGTTACTCAACATTATTTTAAATACTGTTGGTATCTCTACATTATGTTTTCGTGAGATGAGGGATATTCAGAAAATAGCAAATAAAAGAAATATGTGTCTCTTTTTTTTTGTCTGCATGATTTGAAAGAATTGTATTGCATGGATTCATAATACAAGCACTTTTTTGATTTTTAATTTGTATCTCAATCTAATATTAAAACATATATGTAAGATATGAAAAATATTTTATCTACAAAATTGTCACCACCAAAATATCTTGTTTATGTTATCAGACACTTTTTTTACACTTAAATAAATATAAAATATAATATAAAAACTATTTCAAGAAAAAACGGAGATTTTTCTTTGCCAATATTCACTAAAACATTTAAAAAAAATGTAAATAGCAAAAAAAAACTTTAAAGTAATATGTTAGTGACCATTAACATAAATTATGTTTATCAAATCTTTTTATTAACTATGCATTAGAAAAGAAAACAGTTACTTTCTGCTTCTGATAACTTAGCCACTGCCTCCTCTTTTTCCAAAGTAGCATTAGCTGATAGTTTTAATGATTCATTTTCCTGTAAAAAAGTATACAAAAAAAAACAGTATATGATAACACATTCTCTTATAACTTCAGTAACAAATGTTAGTTTTGAAAGGAGTAAACTATATATGCAAAATTACACTGTTAACTAACAGGCTAGATTCCAGGTGGTTCATAATGTTTTCAATTTGATGATGGAAAAACCTAAAGCTCAGGGGTTCCAATTAAACAAATAAAAACACTAAATATATCAAATATTTAAAACTTCTTAAAACCTACTCTTCTGAGGAAGTCAATTTCTGCCAGTACTCACCAGAATTGAATACAATTTTTGGTTAAGTTTTAGGTCCTGGCTATGATGAGCAATTCTACCTCTTTAAGGACAATGCACCAATGCTAAAGAAAGATCAACTTTCAAGCTAGTATTTCACCAAACCAACGTTTGCAAAATCCTCCATAGGAGTTTTTCAGTGGTACAAAGCAAGTTTAAATATAGTGTTATATACTCTCTTTTAATAATGATGTGAAATAAGAAGGAGCAGGAACCTCTTTAGAAAAAAAAATATATATATATATAGCCGAGTCAAAATAGCCAGCAGTGACTTACTGAAAAATATATGTAATTGAGCAAATTGTTGGTATCTTTAAAGTACACATATAAAAAAAATTATGAAAATTCAAGTCTTGTAAGCTTATATAACACCAACTGTTCATCTAAACATAACTTTCATTGAATTTGAAATGTACAACTGATAAAATGTATTAATACTACTTTGATAGTAATTTCCCAGACATAGAATGGGAACTCACTATTAAAGTAAGCCTAACTGTTGGCCTGAGGACAGATTTTTTTTAATGGACTGAAAGATTGATGTTAAAACAATTTCAACATTGAGTATATCCAAAAAGAAATATCATACATATGAGAAATATATAAATCACCACTACAAATCTTGTCCAGAGTTACTGATAAGGGATGGAATTCCCCACAACCAGTCTAACACAATGACAAGTGGTGAACTTAATGATAGATTGGATTTCACATTCCTTTTTAGTCTCTTAATCAGCTTGTATGGTTCAACATTTCAGAATAATAAATTAGTAGCAACATTGTTATATATTCTTCAACTTTTGTATAAATATAGGTTCTCTGTGTTGATAACCAAAACACCATAAGGCTAATATTGTATATACCCATTTCAGTTGTCCAATTATTGTATAATTCTGTTCTTGAGGAAAACAAAACATTTTTAACATGCATAGCACAGATTAACAAATGGGAAATCAAGCCTGAACAAACAACCCTGGGATTTACTTCCTCAATACTTATAACGATAGAGTTACAACTAAAAAAAAGGACATTAAAAAATATGCTTATAAAAGTTATGTTTTGATAATATGTGATAATTTAGTACTTTTTTTAAATCTAATTCAACAATGAATTTTCTTTCATGCATGAAATCAGACTTACAGTAATAAATGCCAAATAACTAGTAATAAATATAAAAGGTTGATCTATTCTTTGATTTAAAACTCATAGAAAGTAAACATTTTTGTTTTTAAAATCCTTTAGATAAATTAATAAAGGTTATATCAAGTAATTGTACACAACTATCTTTCAGAAAATAAAACTTATTTTATTTGTTAACCTCATTTTTCTCATTAGTGAAATATTTAAAAACTGAACTATGTTAAAATAAATTTAATATTCTGAAGTAAAGTTTGTATGATAAACACAAAGCTACATAATGGGCTATCTGTACTGTCCTCAGTGCAACTATCAAAACATGAGTTTTAGCATGATAAGCCCTCAGACTCACCACTGAGCCATCAAGGAGCTCTGAAGTAAAATTATGTAGAAGTGTTTAACTATGTCGAAACTGTGTTTTGGATATTAGAAAATCAAGGTTCTATTGACCTGTTACTTTGGTTCCAACATGAATTGTTATACATGTTGAAAACTTGCAACTAAAAGTAATGTTTTAATTTTGTATATTACAAATTCATCAGAAAATGTAATTTTTTGTAATTTACAAGAAATACTGTGGTTTTGCAATTGAACATGAAGAAATTATTTTACTTAAGGCAATAAAATTGTAGTACGCTAAAGTGATCAAAGTCTTTTTTTTACCTTTCTAAGTTCCTCAATGGTTCTTTCATGCTCGGCTATCTGCGATTCCAGAGCTGAAATTTCTCGATTCAGATCATCTATCACACGCTGGTCCTAATACACACAAACAGACAGCTTATGCATTTTGTTAAGCTTTTAAGATCAAATTAGTCAAAGCAAGATTAGTAAATTTACAGCCAAAAAACTGTTCCTCTATGTTCACAGTACTTAAATTCCAGTTAGTACAAGGACGGTTTGTGAAAGATACTATGGTCAAAAGGTCAAGGTCACTTTTCTCACTTCCTGAAATACAACAATATCACATCTAATACACTTAGGTTGCTGTAGATTTATGAAATACATTATGACTGTAATTTAATCCAAAGTTTTATACATTATATAGATATGCCATTTCTGTTCTAAACTTATTCAAAACTGTAGTACATCTAACTGACTGTAACAACCGTAATACATCTGATAATAGCAAATATAATACATGTAACTGTAACAACTGTAATACATCTTATAATAGCAAATATAATACATGTAACTGTAACAACTGTAATACATCTTATCACACATCTGACTCACTGTAACAACTGTAATACATCTTATAATAGCAAATATAATACATGTAACTGTAACAACTGTAATACATCTTATCACACATCTGACTCACTGTAACAACTGTAATACATTCTATTATAACAACACTTGTTACACATTTGACTCATGTAATAACTGTAATACATCTAACTGACTTCCTAAAGTAACTGTTATAATGAATCTCATTATGGTTACAGCTTATATCATGATATCAGGTGTAATAAATTTCAGACAAGTGTTATGGTGAGAAGTGCAGCAAATGTTAATGGATCTCTGTGGGACATTCTGTAGCACATTATACACATTTGATTTCCTGTAGCTTAAATACTGAAAGAATAATAACAATTTAAAAATAAAAACAAAAAATATGTATTTCAACAATCAACTCTGCCTCTACTAGACAATCATAAAATATTTTGTAATCTTTACATATACTGCAAAGAATTTATGTTTACTCACATACTTTTCTTTTTAAAACTACCTGACAAATCAACAAGACGTAAGAATTCAGTTATTGAACTTTAAAAAACAAAACAAGCTATAAAACATTTTTTAAATAATGCTTAAAATGAGACAAGTTTAGAAACATCCCTTCTTTTTTTCCAGAGTACACAAGTAACAACGAAAAATTGGAAAATTAAAATACAATTTTAAAAATACCACATTCAAGATGAATACCATATGAATTAAACAACATACCTCAATCTTTATTCTCTGTATTTCCATTTTAAGGTCTTCTATTTCTTGTAACAACCGTTCAATCAACTTTTCTCTAAAAAAAATATTATAGTTGTTATTACCAGTAAGGCAATAGTTGTCATCAATCAGTGTAAATTCCTATGGTAACAGCTGTCATCAATCAATGTAAATTACTATGTTGGTTGAAGACAACTGTTACCATAGTGATTAACATTGATTAAAGACAGCTGTTACCATAGTGATTTACATTATGACAACTGTTACCATAGTGATTTACATTGATGACAACTGTTACGTTAGTGATTTGCACTAATTAATTACAACTATTAAGTAAGTGATTTACATTAATTGATGATAACTGTTACCATAGTAATTTGCATTGAGTGGTGACAGCTTTTACCATAGTGATTTACATTGATTGACAAGAGCTATTATCTTAGTGAGTTACATTGACAACAACTGTTACTGTAAATCACTATGGTAACAGCTGTCTTTAATCAATGTTAATCACTAGGGTAACAGTTGTCTTCAATCAATGTAAATCACTATGGTAACAGCTGTCTTTAATCAATGTTAATCACTAGGGTAACAGCTGTCTTCAATCAATGTAAATAACTATGGTAACAGCTGTCGTCAATCAATGCAAGTCACTGTCATAACTCTGGTATGTAATGAATGTAAAGTATAATATTTTAAATTTACACATAGTACTTATAGACAAGAACACATGTCCATCTTCAATATTCTTCTGAACAAAGTTTTGTGGAGACAATTGGACTGAGTAACATTAACAAACTACAAATTTCTCTCAGATGAACAGTAGTTTAAAAACTTAATATTGTTAAGCAATTTATTTTAGTCAAAATAACCAACAATATAAAAACACAATAAAAAGAAATGTTTACTTATTATCACAGTGAAATTACAAAAGTACCATTACTTAAATAATTCAGCTTTTTAAACAACACCTACTTTTCAGCAAGAGGGTCTGGTGAAAGAGATCCATTCTGGTCTTGAAATTCAAAATCTCCTGTTCCAAACATCTCATCAAAGTGACTAGGACTGTGCTGGAATAAGATGTTAATCAGAACTTTAAAAAAATTATAATTATGAAACAGAAACTCTACAAGAATCTGGAATAATATTTTTAAAAATTATAATTCTACATACTAAGAATTTAAGGTTTGTAACTTACTGTAAAATTTACTAAAATCTGAAAATGTTAAAAAAATATAATCTTCCTATAAGCTTAGAATGTAAAGCTTAATATTGCTATAAATTAAATTGTACTTTGAAACTGGTTTTCAAAATATAATATTCACCTAGACTAGAAGAGCATAGCTGTTAATATGCCATAAACTTTTCTAAAATCTAAAACTGCTTCTGAAAAGATAAAATTCTGGCATGGATAGTGAGCAATAAACAACTAATAAAAGTTGTTTACAGCTTACCATCTGCATGAAAAGAGTAATAAAAGTTATTTACAGCTTACCATCTGCATGAAAAGAGAAATAAAAGTTGTTTACAGCTTACCATCTGCATGAAAAGAGAAATAAAAGTTGTTTACAGCTTACCACCTGCATGAAAAGAGTCATAAAAAGCTTACCATCTGCATGAAAAGAGGTAAACAACTTTTATTTCTCTTTTCATGCAGATGGTAAGCTATAAACAACTTTTATGACTATTTTCATGCAGGTGGTAAGCTGTAAACAACTTTTATTTCTCTTTTCATGCAGATGGTAAGCTATAAACAACTTTTATTTCTCTTTTCATGCAGATGGTAAGCTGTAAACCACCCTTATTTCTCTTTTCATGCAAATGGTAAGCTGTAAACAACTTTTATTTCTCTTTTCATGCAGATGGTAAGCTGTAAACAACCCTTATTTCTCTTTTCATGCAGGTGGTAAGCTAATCTAACTTCCCTTTCCACAAAAGAGATGAACTATAAAACTTCCTTTCTCTTCTCAAGTGCAATGAATGTCTTCCTATTTTCTTGTCAGAGCTAAGTAAATGCAGTTTCTGTAAACACAACATACAACACACATGGTAAGTGTCAACATACCGAGGGTTCAGGTGTGGTTGTGTCTACTAGAGTTCCATCCACTGCTTCATTCTCCGGTGTTTCACACTGAGGCGGAAGGATGACTACAGGACTAACATGAGCACTTAGATCTGATGCTATCAAAAAGTTTGGTGGGTTCTGTAAATAAAACTTATTTTCAAAAGACTATTCACCTTCAAACATACAATTCATAGAATCTGGTCACTCACATTCTAATGTAGAATATACAGAATTTGGTCACTCACATTCCAAAGTAGAATTTACAGAATCTGGTCACTCATTCAAAAGTAGAATATACAGAATCTGGTCACACATTCAAAGCTAAAATATACAGAATCTGGTCACCTATTCAAAGCTAGAATATACAGAATCTGGTCACTCATTCAAAAGTAGAATATACAGAATCTGGTCACTCATTCAAAAGTAGAATTTATAGAATCTGGTCACTCATTCAAAAGTAGAATATACAGAATCTGGTCACTCATTCAAAGCTAAAATATACAGAATCTGGTCACTCATTCAAAAGTAGAATATACAGAATCTGGTCAGTCATTCAAAAGTAGAATGTACAGAATCTGGTCAGTCATTCAAAAGTAGAATTTACAGAATCTGGTCACTCATTCAAAAGTAGAATATCCAGAATCTGGTCAGTCATTCAAAAGTAGAATTTACAGAATCTGGTCACTCATTCAAAAGTAGAATATACAGAATCTGGTCACTCATTCAAAGCTAAAATATACAGAATCTGGTCACTCATTCAAAAGTAGAATGTACAGAATCTGGTCAGTAATTCAAAAGTAGAATGTACAGAATCTGGTCAGTCATTCAAAAGTAGAATATACAGAATCTGGTCACCTATTCAAAGCTAGAATATACAGAATCTGGTCACTCATTCAAAAGTAGAATATACAGAATCTGGTCAGTCATTCAAAAGTAGAATGTACAGAATCTGGTCAGTCATTCAAAAGTAGAATATACAGAATCTGGTCACCTATTCAAAGCTAGAATATACAGAATCTGGTCACTCATTCAAAAGTAGAATATACAGAATCTGGTCACTCATTCAAAGGTAGAATATACAGAATTTGGTTACTCACATTTAAAAGTAGAATTTATAGAATCTGATAATTTATTTTCAAAAGTAGAATAAACAGAATTCAATCACACATTCAAAGTAGAATTTACAACAGAAGCTGATCTCTCACACATTCAAAGTAGAAGCTGATCTTTAAAATAGTGTTCAAAAAAATATTCCTTACTACCTGATGCTAATTTTGTTTTTAACCTCATCACTTAGACTCACAATTATGATTTAAATAATCTATTTTTTTAATAATATAAAAGTTTTAATTTTTTCTAAAGACCCTTATTCTGCTATTTAAATCAACAAAAGTTCATAAAAAAATACAAGTAATTTCATAAAACAGATAATCAGAGCATTTTTAAAATTAGTCAAATGATTTATGAACCTACTTAAACATCTTAATGAAAGAGTAACTGAACATTTGAATCCTTTCAAATGAATAATATATATAATTAAACCCACTCGATTCTTTATTTTCATGATTTGTTTAAAAAACCAAATTTAAAAATTCTAATTCAAGGCAAGTTTTAATTCCTTCTACATGTAATTATACAAACCTCTGGTAACAGTGGCACTTGAATGAGGTACTTAAAATATTGCAAGTTGCTGGAACTAAGATAAAATTGACGAAGGCTAAAAGAACAGAAAAATCAAAACAAAATTTAAGTTATTACTATAATTTGTGGCTTTAATGATAGACAGCAATATGAGTTAAGGACTTTACATTAAATGGTTTTAAAGTCATATTAAAATGTAATAAAAATAGTATTTAATATCATCACATTCAACAATAATGTTTCTTAAGACTGGGTTCTATACAATCAAATTCTAACAATACAGGTTTACACAGTCAACTGTTAACAATACAGGATTATACAATCAAATTTTAACATGTTCTAAAATCAAATATTAGGTTTAACTACAATATTTCACACACACACACCTATTTATCATATGAGTAATCCAAGATGGAAAAGAACTAATGACCAAATGACCTTAAAGCTTTACATGATAACTTGAGTATTGCGATCAAGTTAAACAAAACTACAGCCTACATTTTAAAAAACTACTTTCAACTACAAAGATTTTAGCTTCTAACCTACTTTGGAAGCAGTTACATACAGAGATCAAAAGCAACACATTTAACATCTTTTTATTTCTATGTACATGGTTTGATTGAAAAAAAAAAGGCTAGAAGCAAATAATGAAAAGTTTATTCAGGATATTCCAAAGCATGAAGAATCAATAGAAAAAATTAGCACCAGAACAATAACTTGAGCATTTTTTAAAAGTAACTTTCTGACAAAGCATGAATAACTGTGTTTTTTTTCTAATATCAATTAAATAAAATTATATTTTTCTTGATATACAGATCATGCTTTAATTTGATAATTATCAGATGATCAATTACTGAAGAAAAAAAAAGTGATACCTTTACATCATACTCACACAAGAAAATCTTGATCAACAAACATATTAAAAACTCACCCTTTGAACTGATACTTGAATCGTTCTCTGTGACCAACAAGTGTGTCAGGTGGAAGAGCTGTTGTTAAAGACATTTTTTTTTTAATTACTGAACGTGATTCATTCTTTATTTAACAAAGAATACTATTTTGACAGAGTAAATTTCATCAATGGTTTAATTAACTAAGCAGGCTGGAGCAGCACAACATCTCACTTGAATAGTGGGCAGAAGATCAGAAGTTGGCTAATGTTACCCCTCTTTACAAGGGAGATGATATAAATTGTCTCAGTAATTATATATCAGTGGTAGGAAAAGTTTTTGAAAATCATTTTACAAAGTTTAAACTTTTGTTGGATAGCCAGCATGGTTTCAGTAGGGATTTAATGTCATAAATGGGGTACCTCAAAACTCACTGTTAGGACCTTTCTCTTTTCAATTTACATCAGTGACATAGATGAACGAATGGCCAATAGATTATTCAAATTTGCTGATGATATTAAAGTTTTGGGTGTTGTTGGCTGGGAGGAGGATGTTACTGACTTACAAAAGGATTTGGATTATTTGGTGAGGTGGGCAAATAAATGGTAGATAGGTTTAATAAATGCAAGGTAAGGCATGTGGGATATCACAATTTGAATTACGAGTACAATTTTAATGAGAATAACGTTAACACTGTCATGAAATAAAATGACACTGGGGTGATGGTTGATCAGTCTCTTAACCCATCCAAGCATTGAATACAAGTCTAAAGAGGTTATAATGTCATTGTATAAGTCAATGGTTAGACCACATTAGGAGTGTTGTGTTCAATTTTGGGCTCTTTACCTTAGAAAGTACGATGAATTGTTGTAAATGGTTCAGAGAAGAGCTACTAGGATGATTCCTGAGATGAAAAAGTTTATCATATGATGACAGGTTAAGATCTCTGAATATGTTTCTGCTTGAAAGTGCCGACTTTGAGTGTTTTATTTGAATATTAGATTTTAGTATAGTGGATGGGACAGCCTAGGTGGACCTTAAATTATATGTACTTGTAATTAAGTAAGAGTACTATTTTCACAGAATACATTTTATCAATGATTTAATTATAAACAGAACATGTTTTAACCTATGTTTTAAAGATGAGTAACACTGTAACAGAGCATGGTTAACCTATATTCTAAGCATGAGTAATATTTTGACAGAACATGATTAACCCTTTCCAGATGTGTCACGAGTCATAGGCCATGTCATCACGTTTATTAAATCGCATTCAAGATTTCATGAATTTATGTCAATAAATTTGGTATCAAACTGTAGATTATAATTCAACTTTTAATATTATACCTTGCTCAATTTCTTCATGTAAAAGTAAATATTAGAAAAACACAGTTAAACATTAATTTTTGTGTGTCATGTGGTATGTTGAACGTAGCACTGGCTCAAATTAGATATTTGTGATGTCAAAATACTAAGTCTACAGTTTCGTACGAATTATGAACTCAAATTAATGATATTGATAAGCTAAAATATAAAATGAGAACCTCTTATCTTTTCTATTTGCTAAGATATTACTAGTGTACTGAATCAAACATAGTGGCCCCCTTCACCTCTTTCCATTTTTGGAAACAGTCCCTTTTATACACTTACTTTTATATATGACATGAATAACCAATCAGAAGCTCAGAATGTCCCCTAGTGGTTTTCTCAGCCATTTGAAATTGTTAGGATGTGATTGATGTTTAGGTGTGTTTTTTAATATTTATTTTTAAATTAAGAAATTGAATAATGTATAATAATAAAATATGAATTATAATCTACAGTTTGATACCAAACTTATTGACATAAATTCATAAAATAGTAGCTCAATAAAATTTTGAATGCGAGACAACAAACACAATGACATGGTCTTTGACCCGTGATCCATGTGGAAAGAGTTAACCTATGTTATAATGTTGAGTAATATTTTTACAGAGAATGATTCACCCATTTTCTAAGTATGAGTAATATTTTCACACAGCATGATTAACCTATGTTCTAAGCATGAGTAATACTGTGAAAGAGCATGATTAACAAATTAATTTCAATACATGTTTGGACTGCTTAGTCAGCTTACATTCTTGGTGATTACCAATGGTCAGATTGTGGGGTTTTGTCTCACTATACAAATAACAACTTGGATGATATGCATAATTAACTTGGTATATGAATCAAAAGATTTTCATTTGCAAAAAGTTACCAGTTCCAATTGCTAATTCTTGAAGTTTACATTATTTAGACTGCAACATCTGACTTTTTGTCCTCAGTTTGTTTGTTTTTTGAATTTCGCACAAAGCTACACGAGGGTTATCTGCGCTAGCCGTCCCTAATGTAGCAGTGTAAGACTAGAGGGAAGGCAGCTAGTCATCACCACCCACCGCCAACTCTTGGGCTACTCTTTTACCAATGAATAGTGGGATTGACCTTCACATTATAACGCCTCCATGGCTGAAAGGGTGAGCATGTTTGGTGTAACGGGGATTCGAACCTGCGACCCTCAGATTGGAAGTCGAGCGCCTTAACCACCTGGCCATGCCGGGCCTTTTGTCCTCAGATTTGCTGGGAAATTTCAAAAACGTAATATTTTTTTCCATTAAAAATTATATACATGTAATATATACATTTATGTTGGTCATCTTCACATTTAATTCATTCCTCTGTAGAAAGTTCATCAGACTTGTGGTATTTGTATACAACCAAGTTCTCAAAAGTTGTTGGAAAAATAATGAATAAAGGAAAAGGAACTTACAAGCATGCAGTTTAAAGAGCAGTTTCACACAGTAATCATAGAGCTGACTGGAATCTTGGATACATGGTATGAGAGGGGAAAGTCGACACTGGCCAGAACTAGTCATGGAATTGGACCGAGACATATCCAATGATCCAAAAACTGTTTGAAACAAGGCAATTCTTTCAAGTTGTTGTCTTTTTATAAATAAATTTATCATATGAATTAGCAGATATAAACAATAATGTCATCTAAAACTGAAATCAGTGATGTAACATTTGAGAAACCAAAATTGAAACTATAAAACTATTAACAACATCATTAAATTGTATGGTTTATTTGAAAATAAACCTTAATTGCAAGTATTTAATTCCACAATGGCTAATCCACTTGAATATCAAGCTTAAGTTTAAAATTGCAGAATATTTAAAGATCTTTTATATGTATGGTGTTTTTAGTTGTATTTTACTCACCAGGGTGAACTAATATTTATATAGGAATTAAAGAATAGGTAGTTTTTATGCTACTAATTTATTCTCTGAATTATTCAGTATACAAACAGTTAAAATACTAATATAAATATGAAGTTGAGGCTATCATTTGATTGGCCACTTGTCATTTAGGTGAGCCAAAGTCACTATATCATGAACCACTAAAGTTTATTCTCCATAAAACTTAAGAAACAAGATTAGTCAAAACTGTAAGTTTAAAAAGGAGGAATACAGATCATAAAAAAGTATGGAAACAAGCTGAATCAAAATGCAATAATTATATTTTATAGCTTAAAACTAGGGACTCTTAAAAAAGTAAACAAATAAGGTTGGAAATAGTGTCTACATTATTTTCTCAATTTATAAATCCCTATTTTGACTCCACTAAAATTGATAAGTACTGTAAACATGGACTTTTTCACAGTCTCTATTTCCCCCTTAGTTTTTACTAATCTTGTATTTAATATATACTTCAATACTATATAAAATCTAGTCTTCTTTTCTCAATTTGCCCTTGTTCAGGATTACTCATGAGGGGTGGAATTCCTAAAACCACAATATATCAGTGACGAGTGGTGAATCAAGTCAAAGATTTGGCTTCATATTTGTTTTTAGTATTTTAAACAGCTTGTATAATAAATAATTCTCAATAATGCTACACATTCTTCAAATCATATATAGACATAGGTTTATTGTTGTGAGTAATAGACAAATCAAAACACCATACATATAATAAATGCTCTACTGCTATAAGAAAGTCCGGTATAATCCTATGAAAAGTTGTGAAACAAACTACAAATTGTGCTTCATATATATTTTAGTAGCTTAAAGAACTGGTTCACTTGGAAACTAAACCTTTATTAGATGTTTGCTTTTATAAAACATTTATATGCTTGGTTTTTATATGCTTATTTATAGGTTTAATTTTATAAAATATCTATATTCTTGATTCATCTAGAAAATAAACCTTTTATAAAATATTTATATGCTTGGTTTTTATATGCTTATTTATAGGTTTAATTTTATAAAATATCTATATTCTTGATTCATCTAGAAAATAAACCTTTTATAAAATATTTAT